AATAACTAAAAGAACATGAAGCATGAAATAATCATAATTAGTATGCAAATATTTCAATTTATGTGTAAATAAATGTGCTCATTTGTCAAGTCCTGAATATAGTAAATTGAAAATTTACTAGCAAGACTACACAGAATAATACATTTTGATACGCTCAGGCCCTGCAAAATATATAAACTATAATCCTACATATAACAGCAACATTTCAAGTTACAATGCTACATAACCTCTGCAGTTAAAATAGCACTGTTAAATAACATATGAATCATAATTTTCATGGAAATAGAACAGAACTCTGCTTCTTATGAAAATTAATCCTATGCAACATATTTACATTTTCAGTTTAAAAGCATCTTCAGTATATTTTTCAAAGCATTCCAAAATGCACACATCTTTCTATTACTTTACGTCCCTTAAAATAAATACAAAAAGGATATTACATCTTTCTATCACTTTACATCCCTTAAAATAAATACAAAAAGGATATATAATTACCGAAAAATACGGCAATGCATGTTTGACACACTGAATTAATCTGTCCACATTATCGTTTTCAACATCTTTTGGATCAAAATTCTGGTTAATCTCAGCTTGCTCTGCTACGATATCAACCAGTTCCTGCTGCCCAGTAACAGAATGACCAAGTCTGGTCCAACCCAGCAACTCCATTATATTATGAAATTCATCAGCAGTTACATCCTGCAAGGAGTAAAAGAAATAATGCACATGCCTACCAAAATATTTCAGTGCTCTATATTTACAACGCAGTGAGCACAACATTTTACAAAATCATCCATGCTAAAAGAATAAATAAAGGAGTTCCAAGTACTGGTAGGGCCTCCCTAGCCAGATTGGTCGAGGGGGAGAGTTCAGACTAAGACAGGTACCCTGGTCCTCCAGGTTGGGGGTTGGTCGCAAGGCTAACAACCTTGCACCGTAAAAAGGAAGATGTTTCAACCTCAACCTTGGACAGGCGGACCTAACAAAGAGGACTGAATGGAAGAGGAGAACTGAGGAGGCCATGGACCGAATACGGACTGGAGAGCCATAGAAAAAAAATGTATGATCTTAATGGATGCCACTAACAATAAAAATATAAGAATTTAAGCCTCCATGATAACTGCATGCGATGAAGTCTTCTCAGGCAATCAGGTGAGTAAGAATGGAATTAGTTTCAACATTCTGAAAACTGTCTTTGCTTCCATCATCAAGGATTGATATTCAAATAATTTCATACGCTGAAGCTTGAATGCATGACAATAATGAATCACCAGTAGATGGGAAATTACTGAAATGTATGTTAATGCATGTCAAACAATGGTCAACCCCCATAACCTTGAACATAAAACATTCAGAATTAAAATAGCCACGTATGTTAAACTGAAATCCTTGCTATGGTTTAGACTTGCAAAAGTAATGCATACATACAGACACTTGTACTTATTTATAGAAACAAAAGTAATTTACCTGTAAAACTTTTTTGCATTCACTAATTAGGTGTTCTTCAGCATCTTTCGTAATTACATCATGCCCAAGAGCTTTGATTTTAACTGTGAGGAATTTAATGCACCTTTCTCTAATCAAGTCATCTCCACTCAAAATTTGTGAGAAAATACCACCAAGAGTGCCTGAAAAGAGAGAAATACCATTCATACATCCAAACAACAAAAGTTTAGGAAGCTGGACAGCCCAGTCAGTACACACTGGATAACAACGGTTCAATTCCCAGCAGAAGCAGGGACTGCACACAATGGGTACTGGAGAGGGGGGAAGGCTCTTTTGACAGGGGTAAAGCACCACAGGCATGAAGCTGATCACTCAACCTCCTTCTAGTGCCAAGATTAAAAAACATGGAGCTATATATATATATACCACAACTCTCCAATGTGGTGCTTAATTTAGAAAGATCATTTCTATGTGATATGGAGCTTATATAAGCAAAGGCACAATTTATCTTTAAGTAACAAGAATGTTGCTGTACTGAGCATAAAAAATATGGCAAGATAACCAAACACACAAGTTTTAAAAAAGTGCAATAAGAATGTCTTTGTATAAAATTCTGGGATTGAGCGTCTATATTAATGAAAGCCAAAAATTTATTTTTCTCCCATTCTTCCAGTTAAAGGATAGAATAATCCCCTTAAAGGATGAGTAGGTAAACACTTTTCTGATATCACTGTATGAGACAATACCAATGTACTTCATATAACCTACCTTTAGCATCACTCTTGAAGAGAGTCATCAGGGAATTATGAACAACACTTAACTCAGCATTATCTTCAGCTTGTAACAGTTGTGCCAGAATATCTGCAATCTTCTGTGTGTGTTCCTTATTGTCCTTACATAAACTTGGCAGGTCTTTAATGGCCTGCTTTCTAATCTGTTAACAAAAATTTGTGGTTCAAATTAACATGTGCATTTTCATCATTAACATTTCATTCTTTTTATATAATATAATAACCCCTTCAGTGTTACAGTTGAAACAATTGTGAAATGCACTAAATCCACATCATGATATGAACAAAATTATCTTTTTCAGAGCAGTACCAATTCTGGGATAAAGGAAGAGAAAAGATAATGCAGTCTCTAGAAGTACAAACCTGGCAGGTCCACTTAAAACTTTGCATACCATGTAGTGTATTAGAATTTAAAAATAAGCATATTGTATTGCTGTATGTAGCAACTAAAGCTTAATGTATCTGTATATATTACAATGCTGTATATCACGACATTCAATTTTCTATATGCCTGGAAAGTTATAAAGCTACAATATCACTCTCTGCACAGCTATGAAAAAAATTACCAGCCACCATATGTTAAATTTATTCCTTACAAAATAATACAATTCTTAATATATATTAATAATGGTTTAAGTTAGCAGAATGTAATCTTCAACTCAAACAGAATAAAAAAAATGTTCACATGAACAACAAACTTACAGCAACATCTTCATCCTCACAGAGATCCAGCTGTGCCTCAATGGCTTGATCTGCTAGTGTTGGAAAATGCTTAAAGAAACGTGCTATAAACTGTGATGCTAATCTCTTTTCTTTTGATGACCCCTTTACTGCTGTGAGAATTTCTAAGTACTCTGCCTCATGCTAAAAAATACAATAGAAAATGCTTTTCAAATTATGAGGAATGATAGTAAAGTAACTGGAGCATTAAAGTGACAGTCACCTCCATCTCGTGCTGAGGAAAGTAGTTTATGGAACTTTACATTCACTCCTCCACACATCCTCACAGCACTTAAGTACAAGGACAACTTTACCATCTACATTTGTCTTTACTATTTGTAAAAAAATGTACAATGTGGTAATTGTGCACTATCCTTTACTGACAAACAAATCACAACAATAGCCATAGGGGCAAAACATAAATGAAGGATGACAAATTGTAGACTGAAAATGATGTGAAATAACACATCATTCACACAAAATATAATTTTCTGTACATATTTACTGCTAGTTTATCCAAAAACATTTCAACTAAACCATCCAAAACTAATACTTACTGATAAATGTGTGAAATAAAACATAACAACTTGACAATATTAACCAGGATTAGAGGTTTTCATGGTGGTAAGTTTGAAGATGGCTGTCTTCTAGGTTGTTGCACCATGTAGTATGGTAGAAGTTTACCAATGTTTCAGAGGTCCTTGCTGCCTCCATCATCAGGGACTTATCACCCTGATGATGGAGGCAACAAGGACCTCTGAAACGTCAGTAAACATCAAGCAGACTACACAGTGAAACAACCCAGGAAACAGCCATCTTCACAATCAAGCAGACTACATGTTGAAACAACCCAGGAGACAGCCATCTTCACAATATTATTTAACTCATGTTACCAGAAGTTCAATGCCATTAATATTAAACCCTGTAAATGAGAACTATCCTTGTCCCAATGTCCAGTGAGGGGTTCCATAAGTATGGTTTTGTGAAGCACATACCTTTTATGCTCTGTAGAAAACCATAATCTTTTTTTATTTGTATCATATGAATTAATTTGTTTTTGCCATTGGCATTAGTGTCCTTCAAAGTGTAAACAGTTTTGTTTGTATGCGTGATTTATATTAACTTTTAATGGTTAAGTATTTTTGCTGTCTATTGTATTTCTCATCTGATTATTCCATAAGACATATTGGAGTTGAAATAAAGTAAACTAATTCTACAGTACCTATATTCATAAGCGATTTTCTGGATTTTACATATTTTAAAATACAAAATACACTGATGATTCTTACAGTTACGTGTAACCGGCTTTAATGTCTGGCATCAATATGACTTAATATCTAAATCCGCACGTCGTGCAAAGGTTTTAATGTCTGGCATCAATATGAGTTAATATCTAAATCCGCACGTCGTGCAAATTTAATTCAGGTTAGTAATGATACAAACCAAAGGACGCTTATCGTAATTCAAAATTTCTCGCATTTGACTAGTAATCCAGAACCGACGAAGCAAAAGTCACTAATCTGAATGTTGTACACAATGATTTTTTCTCTCCATACGATAGGCTTTACAATTAGCAGCAATTATTTTCGCGAGACCTGAATATGTGGCTATTAAAGTAACATGGAGACTCACCTCGCTTTTATCTTTAGAATCGGCCAAAATTCCAAAATTCTTATACAATTTCTCTATTCTGTCTGTGCTCATAATGCTTAATCGGATTCGAAAAATGTAGTATATAATGTTTCTGCACTTAAATAGCCTTGTAAAATATGTTTAATTCAAAAACCACAAACACTTTACTTCTCTCACACCTACAACTTCAGTTTCTCTACTAGATGTGCTAGCGCCAAGTATCACAGAACATGAAATATCACACGTTCGACCCATATATACATTACACTAATTACCACAAGTGACCACCAGGCGTAACAAAAAGCAAATGGCATAAAAATGCATAATAGAAGGCTAACAAATTCGCAAGTCATGGGTATATAGAAAGAAAGGGTTATTAAATCTCATGAGAACATTAACTTACAATTGTCGAGGTTTGGAAAACATTTGTGAACACAGTAGTAACTATAACAAGTTTTATACTCAGTAGAAGACGGTCTGAGGGTTTGATTTATAGACATTGAGAATAAATTTCGAGATATCTTTTACTGTTTGATAACTTATATGTTGAAGTATAGCATGTTTTTATTATTTAATTAAACAAGTTCTAGTGTTATACACCAGCACCATCTAGCAACTTAACGTGAGGAAAGCTATGGATACAAAATGCGGTTTACATCTTGGGCCCTGTATGCACTGATCGTACATTATTGATAATCTATGCTGTGTCACAGTGCATAACCTCTTGGCGTGGTGTTTGTGTTTCAGGCTAGTACGGTTACTATATGTATTAAACTTGGGTAACTCCGGTAGTGGCCATCACTTTTATCCGGTTACATTAAAATCTGGCTATGATTTAATTACATCTGTTCCAGTATTTAGTACACACAGTTACTATGTCTGGATTTGGTTTCGGAAGTACTGGTTCCACAACTCCGGGTACTGCATTCAACCTTGGATCCAACAAGTATGGGCAAAATTACTGTTTTTACTTATAATAGTGGAGTAGTATATATCTCAAGTTCTTTTTATTTATAAGACCTATTCGACAGTTACTTGTGATTAGTTGGCATGATATTCAGACTTATACATTTTCTCCGTTGTATTATTTTCTGACTTGGTTTAAACCCTGAAAATGACTGTTTTGTTGGTTGTTGCGCCATTTAGTCTGGTGAAGTTTACCGATGTTACAGAGGTGCATGCTGCTTCGTGATGATAGAGGTAGCAAGCATCACAAAAATGGCTTATCTTGTACCAGACTATACAGTGCAACAATCTTCATAGTTGGGGTCACGAGAACTGAAATGTGACTGTTGTAAGCCCTACTTCCTTCCATTTTATTGCTGTGTCTACATGTATCTGAACTGTTGACTTTTTGGTCGATGGTGTGCTGTAAGTACACATCAGTCATCCACCCCATGATTATTCGGTTGCAACCTGCCTGTGCTATAAGTAGAATCCAAATGTAGTTGTAATAGCCAATGACATTCATGTATTTATTACAAATGAATTATGAACAGTGCTCATTAAATACAAACCACTGAAATAAAAGTCATCAAAACAAGTACAAAAATGGAACCTATAACAATATATGGATTAGAGAAGGCTTTGCAACTTGCCTTGGTAATACTGGCACTTCTTTGCTGGAGAAAGGTGAGAGAGAGATTCCCAAAGCTGCATAAATTAATACAGAGCTCTTACCTCTACCACTGGTGTTGGGTTTTTTTGTTCTGTAGTACCTTTATGTATCTTCTAGCAAATAGAGCTTTAACATTTGTATAGTGTTTTAACAGGACAGCTGTGTAGTGAGATGGCAGTTTTGACATCACAGTGCCAGAGATGTATATTTTGTAGAATAGTTACTCAGTTTTGTCTATTCCAGAACCACCACATCTGGATTTACACTTGGTACAACTACAGCACCATTATCTTCAGGAAGTTTATTTGGTACTACATCTACATTTGGAACACCCACAACATTATCTTCTGGTTTGTCATTTGGAGCTGCTGCCACTTCACAACCAGCTACTGGGTTGTTTGGAAGCCCTGCTGGCCAGACCACTGGCTTGTCATTTGGAATATCTGTTCCTTCAGCAGCCCCTACAGGACTGACTTTCAGTAATATATCCACTCCAACTGGACTTTCATTTGGAACACCTACCGTGGGACAGACAGGAGGTATTTCATTTGGTAATGCTGCAACCCCTGCAGGACAGACAGGTCTGTCATTTGGACCTCCAGCTACAACTGCAACAGGATTAACCTTTGGAACCCCAGCTACAACTATTGCACAGTCTGGGCTGTCATTTGGCACATCTACTGGACTGGCATTTGGAACCCCTACTACTTCTGTGGCGCCATCAACAGGGCTAATATTTGGAACTCCAAATGTCACGACAACACAAACAGGCTTGACATTTGCAGCTCCAGCTACAACTTTAGGAATCTCTGGGTCACTTTCTTTTGGCAATCCTGCTCCTACAAGTGCTGCTCCTTTGAGTTTTCCAGGATTATCAACTGCAGTTACCACAGCAGCTAAACCTCTTGGAGGTTTGCCATTTGGTACATCAACTGCTGTCACATCAGCTACTGGTTTCAGTCTTCCTACACCAGCAACGACAAGTCAGGGTACAGGATTTACCTTGGGTGGCACCACTACATCAATATCTGGGGGTGGATTATTTGGGTTAGGGTCAACAAAGCCTCTGTTATTTTCACCATCAACTAGTACAACCACTTCTGTAGGCCATGCTGGAACTTCAGTACCTATGACCACCACATTAGTAGGACTTGGAGGTGTTGATGCTTCACAGGCTAAATCAGGACTTACAGGTGAGAAATTTTGTTAAATTTTTAACAGCTCCAGTGACCGCTATATATTATTAGTATATTATGTGACAAATAAATGGTATAGCTATATTATCAGTATATTATGTGACAAATAAATGGTATACACTTTGAACAGTTCATTTCAAACACATGGTTTTCTAATAATAGAATCACTGGGTGGAAGGAGGAAGTCCTTCCAGTTTTTTATAGTATTAAAGTGAAATACTATTTTCCTATAGGTAATCCTTGTATTTTAATCAGAAGGGAATAATTCCAGCATTTAATATAATTTAAACTGAATTTTCAATTGCTTAGCTGAGTGGAATAAAGGAATTAATAGTTCCTGGGTGTGATAAATGCGGAGGCCAAGGCCTTACAAAAGGGTTATAGTACCACGGTGTAGTAGTAGGATGTGATAAATATTTCTCTATAAAAGGTCACATTTACTTGCCTTGCAACATGGTGCATTGAAATGATCACCAGTGCAGATAAAATTTGAATTTGAAAATTTGAAAAAGGCAAGAGCTGTAAACATTTTTTTGTTATTTTATTAAAGTAGGGGAATTCAGAATTATTTTCTTTGCAATCATTAATTCAAATAAGTGTTCAGAATTTTATAGACTGTTATTAAGTTATAAGTTGTGTCAGCCAAATTAGAAGCTGAGTTCTTATTTCAGGAACAAGCCCAAGACGATCAGATGTTAAAGCTGTTAAAGAAAACCAGATACCAAATGAAATACTTCAAACAATTGAAACTTTCAAGTAAGTCATTATAATACAGATGAGCATGCACACATATTCATTTACCAGTGTATGATAGCCCATTTTAATGCTGTATTGTATCATGGCTGACTTCTTCAAAAGAAAAAGCTATACTTGCTGTGGTCTTTTTCTGTCTCACATTCAGAGATAATGCTGCAGGGAAAAAAATTAAAAAGTGGTAAAATTATCTCTACAGATTTGAATGAAACTCATATTAGTTGTATAGGACATGCCTCTTAAGGGTGTGTACAGAAGTATTTATTCAGTTCAGTCGATTCATTGCATAGAAAAATATTTTCCATTTTTAAAATTAAAAATAGGATCCCATTTTCCTGGATTATGGCTTGAACCTGTCTCCTCCATTGGTCAGTAGCTGCTCGAGTTATTGCAGCAAAGAATTGAAAATGGAATCATAAAACTGCTTAATCATGTAGTTATTTGATTCAATACATTACCAACTTACCAGCACTGGAAGTTTCAACACAAAAACATAGGTTGCTCATTTGTCAGACCTCACAGAAAATTAACAGGAAAAACAACCAAAAGTAAATGGAAAATCTTTTAAGACATAAACTACTATTACAAATACAGCCAGATTTAGCCAATTTTCTTCCAATTGCGTGGTAATGAAACTAGTAACTTTTTTGGTGTTCTTCTTTTGACTTTCTAGAAATATTGTTAAAACCCAGAAAGGCCTGAGTTCAGACATAGCAAGAGGTTCAGTAAAGCCTCTCCATAAAGTCCAGGAAGACACTGAATCTTTAAAGCAGATGTTGGCAGGGCTGACCAGTGGATTGCAAAGGAATGGGGCATTGGCAGACAAACTCAAAGCAGATACAGCAAAGGTAATGAGAGGTTTTGCATTGTTATGCACATGGGAGAAATTTGGGTGGCTCTACGTATTACTTCCTGCATTGTATTTATGTATGTGACATTTTAAATTTTTGCTGTGTTCTCTCCACATTATTCTAATTGCATCTAGCTCATTGTTGCAAAACATTCTAGTTTATCACTTATTTGGTTCCTCATATCTATATTTGTACTTTAATGATTCCATTTTGTATTTATTATGACAATTGTAAATACAAATTCCCATTGAACTGTGTTGTATTATTTACCACCACGGCACTACATAGCTATCACTTGATATAGAACTAGTTGCATTAGCCAAGCAAGATGGAGAAACAACATTGTTTAAGAGGATCTGATATACAAGGTGAAATTTGCTTGATAAAATACAGTCTTTGCTTATTGTTAGTTGCTTGTAAATAATGAGTGACTTTATAGTTGCCTCTGTTACTGAGATTGTTTATGATATTTACAAATCCCATATTCATTATTTGTCTGAGGTCTTTGTTCTGGCTTTTCCATTAACATCTCATGTACTTGGTTGAATACTATGTTATAGTGTTTGCATCAAGCTGAGATGGCACAGCGGACACACGAAACTCCTCCCGGCCTACAGTATGATAATGTGGCTCCTATAGAATATTTTACAGAACTAGTTGCTGGTTTTGAACGTGATATGCAAGTGTTCAGGCAAGAAATTGAGAATACAGAAAAACATATTCTGTCATTAAGTCATCCAATGGCTCTTACTCCTCAAGGTAAGCCATGTTGTTAATGATCTTTTGCCCTACATGTTATATCCTGTACTAAACAGAACAGTTATCTCCTTATAAAAATTTGTGATTACACTAAACAGAACAGTTATTTATAAAAATACTTCAAGAGTTGCCAGAAAACATTCCTAATAACAGCGACAGTAATAGTAACCCTTTGGCTCATCTGAATAATAATTAAGAATTCCATCTGTACCACAAAGAAAACAAAGCTTTTCCATTATGAAGATCATTGGTTAATGCTGCTTAAGTAAATAATCCCTGTTTAGAGTGAGAATTGTATGAAATCCATAAATACAAAATCAGTGGTACCAGTTACAGATGTGCAGTTACTGGTCTTTGATACTAAATAGAAGTACAGTTACCAGACCTCATCCAGGAAGGTTGAAACAACTGAACACTCAGAAGGACAGCCTAAAACTGCAGAGGGCAAAGTGCCCAGCCATCTAACTGTTCAGTAATTGCCACGGTGGTCTAGCGGTTAGAACGCTGGGTTTGTAATACTGGGGTCCCGGGTTCGATTCCCGGCGGTGCTCAGATTTACAACTTGTCTTGGGCAAGGCCGTGGTCCAGGCATCTCAGAGTTTTCCTCCGGGGTTTCCCCAGTTTCTCTGTGACATTCCAACAATTACTCCACTTTCATCATCATCTTGCAAAAAGGGGGTCACAGCAGGAGCATTAAATGTCGCAGTCCCTATCGAACCCATGTACTGATGGGTCGTGAATCCTGCTAACCACCAATGCACACCATGCTGAATGGTGTGTACTGGATACGAAAAAAATACTGTTCAGTCATTGCTGCCAACTTGTTTAAAAAATAGATTTCTGGTCCTCCCAAATGTATGGCATGAGGTAAGAGGTTCAGTACCTATAGTAATAGAATGAATGATGGTGAACTAGGTGATGAATTTGAATCCTGGCAGGGGTATGATTTTTCTCTGTGCACCACATTCAGGCTGTATCTGGGGCCCGCCCAGTCTGTCTGTGGGTACCCTGGTTACTACCAATAGGTAAAGCAGTCAGACTGTGAACCTGACATTGCTCATCACCATCTAGGTTTGAGGTTAAAAATTTACAGAGATTTACCAGCATATTGTGTTTGGGACAGAGACAACTTTTTACTATTAAATACATTTAAATTGTTTTTACTGTAATTCAACACTACTGTATTCTGTTTCAGAACTGGCATTAGCAATGAGGAGGCTTCATGACAGCTTTGTTGCGTTAGCTGGACGACTACAGACTGTTCATAATTCAGTTGAAATGCAAAAGGAGCAATATTTGAACCTTCGGAAATACTTCTTGAAAGATTCCACTAATGTGTTTGAGGAACAGGCCAAGAAATCAGCTGCTGGTGGCATTAAGCCTAGCAATGGTGTAAAAATTTCCCCTGGTCCAACACCTTTTTCAGGTAACTACATTCTCTGTATTGATGTGCAATGTAGTGTAAGTTGTGTCAAGTTCATTGTAATCACTTCTATATTTTCTGCTGGTGAAATAGTTAAGATTCAGGCACCTCACCCTTAAGACAAAATGCACGCTATACAAAAGACTTCTACGACCTGTGTTGCTCTATGGGAGTGAAAGCTGGGCCCTGACGAAGGGACATGAGAACAAATTAAGAGTATTCGAAAGGAAAATATATGGTCCAAAGAATGAAGATGGAAATTGGCGAATCAGATATAATGATGAATTATACCATTTATGTAATGAGCCTGATGTAATTAAAGTACTAAAGACAGGAAGACTAAGGTGGCTGGGACACCTGTACAGAGCCAGTGAAGCACACCCAAGCAAGAAAGTAACATTTACCAATATAGAAGGAACAAGAAAGAGAGGGAGACCCCCCATCAGGTGGCTTGATAGTGTAGATTCTACACTATCAAGCCACCTGAGCTTTCAGATCTTGTTCTACACTGTAGAACAAGATCTGAAAGCTCTCGGAGTCCAGGGATGGAAAAGGAAAGCCGTAAATAGGGACCAATGGAAGCATTGTTGGGGCAGTCAAGGCCTGCAATAGGCTGTAGAACCTGTGATGATGATGATGATGATGATGTTGTTTCTTTTATACATAAATGATTTACCCAGTATAATAACTAAACTTGCTACACCTATAATTTTTGCTGATGATACTAGCATCCTATTTTCTCATTCTAATACAAACGACTTTAACAAACACATTCATGCAACATTTGAAAATATAAATAGATGGTTTAGAATGAACAGATTATCACTAAACTTTAATAAGACACATTATATTAATTTTAAAATTAAGAGAAAAATGTCAGATACTGTCACAATAAGTTATAATAATAAATTCATTAATAATATCTTCTGTACTAAATTCTTGGGAATTATGATTGATGGTGCATTAACTTGGAAGAATCATATTGATCTACTTATTAAAAAATTGAGCAAGGCTTGCTATGTAATTAGAAATATGAAACCATATATGTCTATTTCAGTACTAAAGACAATTTATTATGCTTTCTTTCATTCCTTAATGAGCTATGGCATCATTTTCTGGGGAAATTCATCTAGTAGTCACACTATTTTTCTCCTTCAGAAAAAGGCAATTAGAACAATGATGGGATGTAGCAATAGAGTATCGTGTAGAAATATATTCAAAGAATTAGATATCTTACCGTTGGCATCACAAGCCGTCTCAGTGGCCGCGCAGTCTAAGGCGTGGGCCTTGTGCCGCTCGGTCGCTGGGATCGTGGGTTCGAATCCCACTCGAGGCATATATGTTTGTCCGCGTTTTTCTGTGTTATGCTGTCCTGTGTACAGGTAGAGGCCTTGCGACGGGCCAATCCCCCGTCCAAGGAGTCCTACCAAATGTCTATAAATCAAAGTAAAGTAAGTATACCATTTATATAATGGGCCTGATGTAATTAAAGTAATAAAGACAGGAAGATGATAGCTGGGACATCTGTATAGAGCCAGTGAAGCACACCCAAGCAAGAAAGTAACATTTACCAATATAGAAGGAACAAGAGAGGGAGACTCCCCATTAGGTCTGCGGAAGATATGTAGCGAATGTCGTTATTGGCACACACTTTGCTGACTGCCGTGGTGACTTATTCCTTCTTGATACAGTAAACCACTTCTCTATCGCTGTAATTTTCGATAACGCCATGAAACGTTTGTGATGTTACAAGACCATATTGTGCGACAATCTAAGAAGATTTTCATTTGAGACCTTGAAAATGCACATCATTATATATTATAATGCTGCCAAGAAAGGAGAATAAAGAAAGGTACTTCATAGTTTGAATTTTGTTTATTTATTTATTTGTAGAATTTGAAGTGCATGAAAGGCTCTTTTTTAAAATTTAATTTATTTTATAGGAGCATGTATTCTCAACATCTGATGCTGATCCAAAACAAGGCATTTACAACTTAAAGCGACAGTTTTTTCATTAAAATTGCTAGGAAATCAAGAAATGTAATAGTTGTACATGCATATGTAAATAAATAGCATTATTGAAATACATATTATTCAACAGACATTTACATGTGTATTATTATTTTCAGTGTTAGGCAACCAGCATGGATTTGGATTGCTGCCAGCAAATTCCGCAGAACCAAAACATTCTTTTCCACCAGGGAACCCACTAGGTAAATAGTGGTAAGACTAAAGTTTGATATCCCTTCAACTAAAAGACACTAAAAGGTAGTATTTAACGATGACCTTCCTGACTAATAGCACTAAACATTAATACACACAAAGACTTGATAATTTTGAAATGGTTTGTATTAACTAGTTGACTTCTTTTCCAAGGTCTTACATGGACTTGAATGAAATGTTACATAACTTTACAAGAGGTCTGTAATTACACATTTCTTTTCTATAAGCATAATGAAGGGAAGTGATGGTGTTTTATAGTGGCTTTGTTGATTTGTTAGAGCATAAGCATATGATAAACTCCAGATTACAATTATTTTTTCTTCATGTTGTTTCATTATTTTCTTCTCTTTTAACTTCTGCTTTCAGCTCTAAACTTAACGTGATACAGAAGGGTGCAGATGATTAAATTTCAGATCTTGGCTGAATTTCAGATAATGAACTGAACTTGTATTTATACTGTCTTACATGTTTATAATGGCATTATATTTTTACTAAGCACTGTGAATAAAAGCTTATTAAAATAGTAATTTTGGATTTGAATTGTGTGTTTCATCTTGTGAGTTCCCATTAGAGATGAGAAATTTCATTCACATTTATTTAGTATAAAATTTATCCCTGGTCTTACATGATGCTTGACATTTATGGGATCAGCAGTGATGTTAAAATTGTTGCTGAAGAAAGTGATAATTGCTGATGGTTAAATATTACACCGTATAAATGGAATTTGTTAATACTTTGCAAAATCCAGTAGTGTTTATTAGCTTCAGAGAATTCATTTGATAAACACTTCTGAAAAAAGTTTTACAGAATTCTGTAAAAATTTACGACCAAATTCAGTTTTGATAGCCATTGGACCTTTGTGTATAGTATTCACTTAAAGATGGAAGGTAATTACATCTTATGGAAATGAGTTGTGTGAGAAGTGTGTTCAGTAGTAGTCTTTCATTATTGAGTTCACAGGTTAGCTCAGTAAGTGGACAACCGGGGTTCAATCCCCAACAGGGGCAGAGGATTTTTCTCTAGCCTCTGTGTCCAGGGGCCCACTCAGCCTCCTATCGAATGAGTTCAGGGTCCATATCTCGGGTAAAGCACGGCCGGGGGCATGATGCTAACCACTCTCCCCCATCTATAGCCGACGGTACAAATGAGTAGGAGCTATACACCTCTCCCCCCCAAAGCACCTGCATGGCGTATAGTGACAACTTTACTTCTTTTACTTTTATTTACAAATATATTAATTTAATATTTTAATTTCTTAGTAAAGTCTATGCCAAAATGTGTATGTTTGGACCATGTTGGTCACTCAGGTGTGACAATTTAACAAACTCCAAAGTCAGTTGTAGGAATAGCCCCATTTTACAATCATCAGACCAGAAAGTCCTTTTAAAATATATAGAATTGTACAAATATTGAGTGTTCCTACCTGGTTTGTTTATAGTCAAATTTTGTGCCAAAGTAGAATTGTATTATCTGTATTTCTGCAGTATAATTGACTACATTACAGCCAGGGTACAGTGAGCTGTTACAGCGAACATGCCTTTTACACCTGAATTGTGAACTATATTTAGAGTTGTGCTTGGTGACTATATCACACTGATCAACTTATTGGAATCATGTGATTAAAATATTTGCTCCATTGTTTTGTATATGATTACATATATATAAATAAATACACTGAATTTTGTGGTATACAGGTAAACCTCGATTTTCGCCGATTCAGAATAACGCCACTTTTGAAACCAGCAAGTCAAAAAGTGAAAAAAATATATTTTACTATTATTTATAACGTTTTACAATGTTTCTCGTACTGATTCTTATACTAAATTGTAATTCTTACATCTCTGATTTTGAATAAAAATTACAAATACAGTCACCTCTGCACTCATTGCTAAGTAGTTGCGAGATAATCTCCTAAAAATCTGCCAACATTGCTCAACAGTCACGTGAGCATTGGTCACTCTTCACGGTGAGTCATTTGCGTTCAGCCTGATAAGGGAGTAAGGAAAAATGCACTCAGCTCGATTCTTGTTGACACATTGAATGTGCTGTGTGCTAAACGTGTTTGTGGTGTTGTTCGACCACTATTCTGCAGTAGCAACTGTTTTATATTTATAAATTGTAAAAGAGCCACCATGTCTGGTAAGAGAAGTGAATGTGTTGCTAAAAAGTATGAAAAAATTACTGTTGCAATGGGTGGATGACATGAATCGAAAAAACATTCCCTTGACTGAAATTGCTATCACGGATAAGGTGAAGTCAATTTTTGAGGAACTTAAGTCGTCATTGTTTGGGTGCCGGGAACGCATGTCATTGACTTCCCATTGATTTATATTATAAAAGGAGTTTCAATTTACGCCAATTCCATTTATGCCGGTTCGTCCAGGAACGCATCCCCGGCATAAATCGAGGTTTACCTGTATTTTATTAGCAGTGAATGTTGGCATTCCTTTTTGTATTCATTGTTGTTTTTTCTCTCTGTCTGACTTTTGTGTTATAAGTGAATGATTAATTTTGTTTATTGAGCAAGATTAGGATGGTAGATTGCAAGCATGTTTGGGTTTGTAGTGAACGTCCTGTACTTCCCTGATTATGTTACAGCATCTTACTCTTATGCACAGACTTGTTTATTTGAATCCAGTTTTTAATGTTTTTGAAATTCTCAAATGATAATGAAATTATGTCTTTTGCAAATCTTGAGTAAAATTAACCAAATGGCATTTTAAATTGAAATTTTAGCTCACAACCCCAAATATGTTTTCTTTGCGTAACTGTACATGTAACATTTTATGTCTTACTTAATGTGTTGATAATAGAATAAAATTTTCCTTTTGCTAACTGCTAGTATGCATTGTAATTTGCTAATTCAGCATAGAACAGCAAAAGGAGTGTAGTACATGTTTATGTGTGTTTCATTGATTTCATAACAGGAAACCAATATTTAATTAAATTAAGTACAAAAATGTTTATATACATTTCTTTACTCGTCCAATATTTGACACAAATTTCTTGGCATCTTGGGGATCAAGTGAAGTATGAAGTTTAATGACAATAACATTGGCATCAATGAAGATACACTAATAAATCACAGATGTAGATGGAATTAATTTTTATATATCACTTTAATCCAAATCCATGTGTATAGTGACTATGTTAGTATCGTTAGTGCAGTAATGCCTTAATTAAACTGCTTTTCGTGGTTGCTTACCGCAACAGATGTTCTTTTCAGCAGTGGATATTAGTATGAAATACTACATATGCTCATTTCACTTTATGCCTAGGTTGTTTCTTAGTCTTTGTTCAGCACACATTATTTTACCTGTCTTCCATTTTCACTCACTTTTTAGCAAAAACTGCAAGAGTTTTATTGCCATGCCCATAAACTCTGTTTTAAAAAATTAAATGAAGAGCATATCAGTATTGTTTTCAAATCCTGTAATCAACTTAATTTCAAGACACATAACCTTACACTGCTTATCCCAACAGACTTGACTAGCCAGAGATTTTGGGGGCTGAAAGCTACTAATGACCTCCATAATTTTCAGATTTGGGAGGAGGTGAGTAAAGGCTGTGGTTTCGAGCATTTACGAAGTAGTTGAAACAAAGATCAAATGAAAAAGTTAACCAACCATCTGCTAATAGTAATGATGTTTGGGCTGACAAAATAGTAGAAGATAATCCACCGTCTGGCAGCTGAACTATATTTTCTCTTAAGCTAAATTTTACATTTTAAAATTTAAAAATGAATGATGTAAGCCCCAAGATTAATACATTAATTGCCTGAGTAATTACAATTGTGCAAGGCCACCACCATATGAATGAAAAAAACACTTGTAGGCAGAGACAAAAGAAGTAAGGTTCTATCTCACTGAGATCTGCCAACTGAAATAAGTTGATGCATGTGAAAATGGGTATAAAAATATATGGTAAATGAAAAATTAATGGTATTACTGATAATGTAATGCAGTATGGCATAGTATGTTTTTTGATATCTTTTTTAAATTATGCTAATGGAATTCACCTGGATGCAGTCAATAATTAAAATATGGCATAGTATGTTTTTTGATATTTTTTTTAAATTATGCTAATGGTATTCACCTGGATGCAGTCAATAATTAAAATACACTGAAACAGAAAAAATATAGAAACATTAAAAGCGTTTACTTTGTTCTTTTTGGACCTATTGTACAGTTTTTATCATTCCCTGCTGAGTAGTTTGCCCCCTGTATTGATATGTAAATTCAAATAATATCCATCATTGTCATATTTCATGATGTATAAATAATTTACCATAATTATAGAAAGCAATTTGAGAAACAATACTGTTAAAAACTATTTATCTGAAAGAAACTTGTTTTAAAATTAAACTGGAACAACAGAATAGGTATCTGTTGGAGGACCAGAGAGTACTCCAAAGAACTCTTGATTCAAAATCACCATTAATGTGGTGAATATTTTTATTTCAGGATGGTGTGGAGGGCAGCAACCATCCCAGCTTCCAGCAAATCTGTGCGGGAATTTATTTTCATCTGGAGGCTTATCGAGCAGTCTGAATACACTTCCTACACCTCAGCCTGTTGATAATCAGAGCTTCCAACTTCAGAAACCCCCTCCAGGAAGCAAAAGAGGCAAGCGATAAAATCGCACTGTAGGTAGTCCCATTAGTGGGTTCACGTGCATTGTATTGACCTTGTCCAGAATGCTGCATCCTAGCTCTTGAATTTTGAGATTATGTAACAGGAATCTTGTGTGAATCATCAGACATCCTCTTAAATGATGGTATAATTATTAATACGTTTGGAGTGAAGTGTGTTGTATAATTTTGCTGTACATGTTTGGAAACTGTGGAGGACTGTATGAATCAGTGAAGTTTGTGTCTCAGTAACTGTTTTGTGAATGAATATGTCAGATAATAAATTAATTTTTGCATTTTACATAATTTATTTCATGTGCCCGCTCACATGTTTTCATGTTCAGATTTAGAATAGTTTCATAAAGCTATATGAAAATGTAACCTGCATAAAAATGCCTTCAATAGAAACTAAAATAATACAGCAATGCAGTGCAATTAATCATGATATCTCACATCCCCATATAATGGTCTTGAGCAATACCAGAAACAAGATAGAAACAGTAACTTATCTGCTTATTCAAGAGATAACCATAATTTTGCATGTAAGTCTTGTCCTTACTTTATCCCCCTGCATCCACCTGTTCAGTATATTCAATTATGTGCAGGCTGCATCCTTTTCTTGTGGCCATTTCATTATATTATGTGTGTCACTAAATATTAGGATGATAAATCATTGAATATGGGCAGGGCATGTAGCACGTGTGGGAGGTGAGAAATATGTCCAAAATTTTGTTAGAAAACCTTGGGAAGGCTTAGGCAAAAATGGGAGGGTAATACGAACATGGATCTTTAGGAAACAGGGTGGGAGGGTGTGGACTGAATTCATCCAGTTCACCATGGATTGCTGGTAGGATCCTGTGAACATAGTAACAAAATTTTAGGTTTAAAATGATGGGGAATTTCTCGACTAGCCGAGTGACTTTTTGCCTCTCAATTATTCTGCTCCATGGAATTGGCAGAATAGTTATATGAATTTGCTGTTCGTAATTTCAAATTATGTATAAATTATAAGAAAATACGCTGCTTGTTAATGGCAAAAGTATAGTATGATGAAGTCTGGGAATTCAATATCTTTTCATCCTTGGATGGGATGGCTTTACAGCTTTTGAGTTCATGTTGTTGTTGAGGGGGTGCTATCACCAATATCAACCAAAAGTTCCTGTGAACATCAATAGGGAAACTGCCCTGATGATGAAGGTAGCAAATGACCTCTGAAATGTCAGTGTGCTTTAATCATACTACAAGGTGCAACACCTTAGAAGCTAGTCATTTTTATATTCACTGCTGTGAGCATGGGGAATCTCACCTTCACAAAATTAACCATTTTATTCACGCTTATTAAATCCAAAAGAAACCTAACCCAACATGAATTTTGAATTTCAGCTTGTAGAAATATAAAATACATCAAACACAAGCAAAAATATTTTAAAAGTTTTAACTTCACTTCCATTTGTATATACTGTAATGTCTAAAACCATAACCTAACTTTTCATCATTTATAATGATACAGCCATAATTTTCAGTCGTTCCAATACAAGGACCGTTATATGTGGCCAGATTTAGACACCCTGGGGCCCTAAGTTATGTTATACTTCAGAGGCCAATATAATGTTGCATCTAGTACCCACTGTGACCTCTGTAAGATTACAATAGTTGGTTTCCATTGTTACAGGCCGGGAAAGATGGTCACCATGAAGAAAATGCAGTAGCCATGTGACCTTTCAACTAGCAATCAGGTAAAGGGCTCTCTCTCATCTTGCTCACTTGTGGCTTAAGGGTCAAAGCCTTATTTTCTTTTATTCTTAGAATGCAATATTTCCAGACTTCATATAGCTAGATCTCCCACATTAAATAAAATAATTATCATTGCCATTCTCCACTATTCATATTTGACTATTTATGAGAACAGAGTTATAAAATCATATTCCTGATAACATGATATAAAATTATATTAGTGATATAATAATATCTTTAATGATGTTACCTCCATAACAGTAAGAAAGAAAATGTTCATTCTCACAAGCCAAAATATTATAAGTAGAAACCAGATATTAGAAAATTCCTACATATTAAGTTTGGTAAGTTTAAGAAGATGAAAATCCGTGATGTTATCAACAGACCGAGTTTGTATACATTCAGATTTATTAGGAGTTTATAGATGGTCGTCTTCTGTGTTGTGCCGTGTGGTCTGGTAGAAGTTGACCAATGTTTCATAGGTCCTTGCTGCCTCCATCATCAGGACGATGACCTCTGAAACTTCTACCAGACCGCATGGCACAACAACCCAGAAGATGACCACCTTTAGACTCATTGCCATGAGAACGTTCGTAAGCAGATTTTTAACGCTTTAAAGTTCAGTGGTAACTATTTGTAACACTTGCTTAAACATTCAGTAACTGCATTTTGCCCACAGAGTGAGTGTACTTATAGGTTTCACATGATTCTTAGAAAAAAATAGTACTAACCAGTTTATCATCATGCAGACACATTGTGTTTTCTTTGAGGTAGGGACTAATATGCTTATGTAATTATATTTGTGATAATACTGTACTCGACTGTAACACATTGTGTTTTCTTTGAGGTAGGTACTAATATGCTTATGTAATTATTTTTGTGATAATACTGTACTCGACTGTAAATTACTGTCATAACTATAATAATTTATATATGTGTTAGAAATAGGTATTGTAGTTGTGCTATGACATGTTCTGCATCCTTGGCTTGGGCCTGTGAAGGATCTACGGAATGTAAATAAATTATATTCTATCCTATTGATAAGATTAAAAATCCATGTTTACAACAATTTTATTCATTCATTATGTTTCATGTATTTGAGAGTCTGCCTGTTGTATTGTTATGTTAGAGCAACTGAAACAAAACTAGTACATGCAGCAGAAGAGTTCCTTAAATTAGGTCATGACCATTTCCCTCCACATCCCAATTCATTGATCATCAAATCATTTGCATTATATAGTTAGATCTACTAACAGCATTGTTAAACAAACCACAAATAAATAAATAGTCATACTGTATTGAAATAGCCTTTTATAGCATTTCAGTGTTGTCACTACAGACCTGAAGACACTTATTGAAGCCTGGTTAGAGTGGGTGTAGTTTCAGCTTCAGTTGTCCTGCAACTGTTAGTCTTTGGTTCACTTACTGACAACGTCCTTCAATTTATATGCTTCAACATTATCATACAGGAATAGGAAACTTAAAACACCTGTAATCTTGTAATTCAACAGAGGTTAATGATGAAAACAACAATCAATGGGTTGTAGCGCTGTGTAGCCTAGTAAAAGTTTACCAGTGTTTTAGAGGCTGCAGGCAGCAAGTGCCTGTGAAATGTTTGTAAACTTCTACCACGCTAAAAACTATTTAAATTCAACATACAGTGCTGGAAGTCATAGGGCAGCTTTAATGCCGGTTTAAAATTTCAAATGAATTTATAGACTTTGTTAATTAGAAATCATGATGCATGTTCTGAAATTAATAAAATGTTAACTAGCATTATTTCGAGAGAGAAAAAATATAGTACTTACGGCCCTGATTCTATCCCACGGTGAGTTGGCTTAGATGTTTACGTTTGTAAAAGTAGAACCATTGAAGATGCACTTCCTGTCTTCGTAGGCTGTTTATAACACTGGCATTCCGAAGCACAGTTTCATTTTCGGCGAGGACACTCGACTCTGCTGCAAAGCGCCTCAATTGACGTTGCGTTATACCGTGCACAAAGACTACTTTCGAACTTCCTTCCCAGTCACCGATTTTGAAGAAACTCACTACTTGCTCACTTACAGTTCTTAGCTACAACGCTGCTACAAACACAACCTAATGTTGGCCAATTCTTCTATGTATGGAGTATTTTTTTATTAATTAATTTTCAGTCACACATTGCACATTTGCCACAGAAATAGTGGGTATCCTAGACGTTGCGTACCTGGTTAACTGTTAGTTTAAAAATTTGCATCACATAAAGGTTGGGTTACAACCGGTGGCCCTCGCATTTTTAGGAAATGCCCTGCTTCGAAAGTATGAAATACAGTATGTCGGTTTGCACGGGTTGACGTGGGGACCACATATGCCCTTTCATATTGACTCGCGGTCGCTGGCTTATAAATGAGGGCAATTTATTGAAAAACACGGCAGTTTCTTACTATCGCAAACACGTTCGCGTTAACAAATGTCTTCGTAAGTTCGTTTACTACTTACTTAAAATAAAAGTAATTTTTTATATCGAATTGTGATACAAAATGTTATTGTGGCGTTTTTTTTATCCAATTCGCTAACAGTTTTCTATGTGTAAGCGTGGTATGAGTCAATTTACGGTCACTAACGTTACCTAAAATAATAATCACTAAATACTGCCTATCCTACGTGAAACCCACATGACTTGATACATGTTCTACAGTATACTGTACGCGATTATACATGCGCAATACTTCGATGTTCCACACGAGTCGTGACAGCGTCCGCAAAGGTTAACCGCCCCTCCACTACTATCAAGCAACTACAGGACAGAGTACTTCGATACTTCCACGTCCATTGAGTATAAAACATTTCCGAAGCCAATATTCCTCTTCAGATAGCATTCTCTTTGGTTGAGGACACAAAAATAGTAAACAAATACACACCCCTTCAACTCGCGGCCGCCCATGTGTTCTATGCTGCCTGCTTGCATTTTTTTATAAGGTCTGACACTGCATGGTGAAAATTACTTTGTACCAGAAAATACGTTTTGTTAAAGTTGCCTGAATTTGGCAACATCTGCCTCTATGAACTGTTTAGCTTCGTCCACTGGTTGAGCTGAAGTTCATTTCATTATAGTTTTATCAAGATATAAACATGAACACATTACAACGAATGTACCCTTCCACCCAGGCCATTATTAGATACACTCAATTAAGATGACTGCAAACATTTGGTGTAACTTGCACGTGCTTGTACCTCCGCGACTGTCTACTGCTACAGACATAGAAGCAACTTCTGGAATTCCATAATTTTATAACACCTAGAGCAGAGGTCCCCAACGCGGTGCCCGCGTTGTTACGGAAAGAGGTTATACTGAATAATGAAGGCCGTTCAACCACGAAAGCGCATATCTCGACGCCCATCTTGACGATCGTGTGCGTGCAGCAACATCATCCTACACTCCCAAATTTGAAAAACTGGCCGATGAAATGCAACGCCAATCTTCACACTAACTTCCCACTCGAGTAATAATAATTGTACTTATAAAACTACGTATTTTTGATCGCATGGTTTCTTGTATCATTAAACGTCGTGTTGTTTTGTGTATTATTTGGTGTCCATATCTTATTTGACCAGAGAAAAGAAAATTTGCCTTTGTTAATTGGTTGGTGCCAACCACAATCTCATAAACTCTCAAATGTGCCTGCAGGCACAAAAAGATTGGGGACCACTGACCTAGACAGCAAAGTTCAAGAACAAATTAACACACAGATAAAATAATTCTAAAAAAAAACACAGACATGTTTTACCATACAGTATAAAACCGAGACCCGGAATGCACTTGTACGAACACTGGCCACAGTTTGCTTACATAATGTTCTTGATATAAAGCTTGTCAGCAACCTGTTTAAGAGTACTTAGTAAAATTTGTACGCAATTTCAGCTAAAAAGTATTATGCAAGAAAACTGCCATCAACATTGAGACAGGAGTTAAACTTCATTCCTTACATTAACAAGTCTTGATACCATAAATAAGAATGTCTTCATTTACTTCAGCAATTATACTTACAGAGCTGGATCAACATGTAATCAGTTTTCTTACACAGAAACATTATTTTCATTATAGCTATAATAAGCATATTAACAAGTGTTTTTTAAAAAATGCATAAAGAAACCTGTACATATATTACAAAGCGAAGACAATTTCACAGCGCCTTCTATGTGATATAAGTGACAATTATTGCTTAGTATACCCATACTGCCACCACACTTAATGGCAATGCTCCATACAAGAGGTTAACCAAAATAAAACAATTTTCATTCTTCTTTGTATTAGTATGATCCTCTGATCTTTTAAAAATATAAAGTCTGTACACTGAACAAATAAAAGTCCATTAGAAGCCATTCCCAGAGCACTGCACTAGAATTTAACACGCTACAGCAATTTTACTTACGTACAAATTCAAAGTCTTTCACTGACCAACTGGAACATGAACAAAACAAATATTAAATATGATTACAGCCTTCATTACTGGAGATTTGTATACCGGCGATTAACTCAGTTTCAAACCAATGCATAAAGTACTCAGAACACACCCACTGGCCAAATCTACGCTCCCACCCCAACGCAAAACAATTGTACTTCCAATTCAAATATAATTCTAATACACTGAAGAAATTATTCAGATACAAAAACAATTTACTGTGTAATGACCTATCTATTCATATCAGATAAGAATAGGATATTAAAACATATTGAGCAACTTAAAACCTTTATCGATAAGGCGTCTTCGAGTAGATTATATTACTGTTATAATGAAAATAAACATAAATACATACACTCATATTAACATTTGGCAGATGAACCATCTCAAAGATGTGTAGCATTACATAATATATACATATGATACAGGGCAATTAATCATTGGCCATCAGATCTGTTGGTACGGAGAATTCATGCGTGGAATGGGAGTTTACTTACACTTGCTTAGGATTTATCTAACCACCAGCCAACAATATTAGGCTGACATTCAGAATGGCTTGCAAAAAATGCTTTAAAGAGTTTAAAGATAAAAAAAATACATACATATATAACAAATATGAAGAAATAACAAGGCATTAGTCCCCACTTAATGGTACCTGCACCTTGTCGTGGTGGTGGGGCTTGAATACCTCAGTGACCCCAAGAGTTATGCTGGCGGTAGCATAGCTACTGGTGGGGCCTCCCTAGCCAGATTGGTCGAGGGGAGAGGTCAGACTAAGACAGGTACCCTGGTCCTCCAGGTTGGGGGTTGGTCGCAAGGCTAACGACCTTGCACTGTAAAAAGGAAGATGTTTCAAAACCTCAATCAAAGCCTCGGACAGACGGACCTAACAGAGGACTGAATGGAAGAGGAGAATTGAGGAGGCCATGGACCGGAGAGCCATAGAAGAAGAAGAAGAAGAAGGCATTAATAACCTGCTTACTGTCTTTCATTTTAACAAGAAAATACAGAATGTAAGTCTGCTCAAAACATGGAGACCTGGTGGTCTGAAGACACGTCACTCACTCAGAGGTCTATGGGTTCAATCCCGTCAGATCTGTGTGCCGACTTTTCCTACTCACAGACGTAAGTCTTCATCTCTGCCAAATATAAAATTCTGAGAAAGTGTAGTACAGCAGCTCCCCCCACAGTTCTTAGTCCACAATAAACTGTAGTCCCTCTGTGCAGACCATTATCTTCATAAACTCTCTATCACTGGGGGTACCAGAATCTTCCCTGTGTGTGCCCCCACCTCAGTCAGATATGTAATCTATGATCCCTGCCGGCATTACACACCAGCCAGCCGATCAGTTGACCCAATACATGAATTTGCCATATTGTGTCCTTTCATAAACAATACTTGGAAGTGTAAAATCACCTCTTTAATTGTTACAAAGACTAATCAAGGCACTACTAAGACTTGCATCAGCATCACCACATTAGAAAATATTTTCCCATATTTTCAGATAAGTAAAAATTCATGGCAGCAAATCAGATACGTGGAAAACATTCAATCATAACACCCCATCAATAATCTGCATAAATTTTAAGGCCCTGGTTTGTTTGAGCACTTTCAATAACCAACGCCCACATTTCTGTCTTCTATTTTCATTATGATCATTTCTGCACTTTACCACCTGGAACATTTAATAATATTTCTTTGGTTATATGTACAAAAATTACTGTATTTACCCAAATCTAAGATATTCTTCACTATTTATTAACAAAGAGTGGAAAGGTATACTCTGGAGAGTACACAGAATTTCCAAAGGCATTCTTTTCTTCACATCTGATGGGAGTAACTGGAAATGGACAGTTAACAGTGTTGTTGTTGTTGTTGTTATGATGATGATGATGATATTGTTCAGTCAGAAGCATTGCACAAAGTTATAAACAAGGCAGGGAATGATCTTTCTGTATGTGGGAGAGTATGATAAATGTGGCTGGGTGATAATTTCACAAAGGAAAAGTGTGATGGCTGGACAGGACATGCCCACAAAATGTTCTTTGCTTATGCTAAAATGTAAGGAGTGTATAAAAACCAAGGCCCATCTTCAACTTAGTGTACTGTCAATTCTTTTTAATAAGAATAACAACAATTTGTACATTCTGCCAAACAGTATTATGGTGAGATATATGGGGCATATATCACATACGGGAAAGATAAGAAATGCATACAAAATTTTGGTCAGAAAACTTGAAAGAAAGAGATTACTTGGGAGACTTAGGAGTATGCAGGTGGATAATATTGAAATGGACCTTCAAGAAACGGTGTGAGGATGTGGATTGAATTCATCTGGCTCAGGATAGGGTCCAGTGGTGGGTTACTGTGAACGCTATAGTGAGTTTCATAAAAGGTGGGGTGGCAAAGAGTAGTCTGTCCGAAGACGTGGTCAGAATATTCAGACTTGGTTCATATGATATTGTTTGAAGTATAAATGTTTATAATGGTAGTCAAGGAAGATTATGACCTCTCTTAACATTTTAAGTCCTGTTAATATTATCGGTTTTCAAGTTTTATTATGATGATTATAACTTTTTAAATAGGCAATTTTTCTGTAATTTTCTTTTTCTCATTTTCAATTTTAGTATGTCATCTTTGACTCAGGTAAATGCAGTCCAAACCCGCACAAAGTTTGTTATGGTATTCTATACAAATATTTTAACTGCATACTGCTGTATCACTTTAGCTAAATAGAACAATTCCATTTTTAAAAATATCAACAATATAAGATAGGATTATCTTATGTGGTAAGGCCGCTTCTTTTTCCTCATGAATTATCATGTAATATAATATCATTTTCCCAATTAATGCGGAAAGAACAACAAGGCACTAGAATCAATCCTATGGTAACAGAAGAGTTTACAGTAGATTACATTCCAACACTCAAAAACATTTCCCACATTTTCATGAAAATACCTTTATCTATAATTACTTACCTATAAGAAACCTTTCAATAACACTCTATACACTTTTCCCATTGGAGGACAGAAATGCTCAAGCAACTTGCAGTAATTTACAATGTGATACTGCATAAAAATACATGCACACAAGAACATGGCCTCTAATATGGGGAAAGAACAATGCATTAATGGAATTTGTTTCATCCTATATATCTACCACACGTTACTTCGAAATTACATCACATGTAATAAAATCTGTATTCACACTACACATGTATTTTTATATAGTATTACAAACTGAATGTCACCTACATCTTTGTTTCATAAAAAGGTGGGAACCTTCAAAAGAGTGACATAATCCTCAAATTTTAGGGCTACCCTTAAATGATTTCTATTTATATAAGATGAGGCACTAAAATTCCTGCACCAGTTTTAGTAACCAATTCAGTTTTATTTCTTAAATTTCTCTCAAGGATTTAAAAAGATCCATGTCATCTGGATTACTTCACGATACTGAGTACCTTGAATCCGAGCGCTGGATGGAAGAAATATTTGAAGACAACATTTAAGGATTAGCTTTAATGGTTTATCACACGTAAAATAATTCCCAAAATTCCACAAACAAAGAACGTGCTCTGCCGATTCTCGTACATGAAAAATCAGTGCAGGTCAGCTGCTTTTAAGTGAAACATTCGGTGGGGTTTAATTTCTCTCCAAACTAGCACCTTCCCTTCCATTTTTCGTACATCATTTTCTCAAAACAATTCAGAAAGCCAGTGCCAAACACTTCTTTGATACCCAGTTCAATGCAGCCCTTCCAGAATAATATTAACACACTATTAAAACCTGCACCATTCATGGCACATAAACACTAAACTAAAATGACAAGAACATCTCTGCCACATTGATATATGAGTTCTTCCTCCACCTAAAATTTGCTCATGCTGCAACAAATTCTGAGCAACAGATACAAATAAACCACCCCATTAACCAGAGGATGGATTTCTGGCAAAGACTAAAGTCCTTTGCCATCAAAATTAACAATATCATTCCCGACACGCATCATGCACATTCCTGCACGCGCACACACACGTGTCTCTACATACATACATACATACACACACACACACATATATATAAAACACTTCCTTTGCTGCTACACACAACTGCGTAGTATCCTACCAATGCAGTAGAGTACTTCCTTCTACCTCACACTTCAACTCCTAGTACCCTATCTATGACGTAGTGGTACCTCTGCGTTGCTTCACTGTTCCTGTCAATGCAATCCCGTCCCTCTACCTCTCTACTGTCCGATCCCGTGTTTTCTTGTTTGTCTGCCACATCTCTATTTACCCTGACGACACTGCAGCACTCTCCAGTGTCTGTAGCAACCGAGAGGTACGATGCTTGACAAGGGGTAAGCCCCTCATCATCTTTATTCTCTTCCACATCCTCCTCGTCATCACAATGCAGACTCTCACCGCGTTTCAATGTACTGCACTCTGAACTCGCTCCATCCTCTATCGCCGGAGTTGATGGTAAAACTGGCACCATTATGTTCACTCGAGTGAAGAAAGCCATTTTCTCTCTAAAGTAAGCACATGCATATATAAAATATTTTGTTGGTTGATTAAAAACTTATGCACATTCAGAATTGAACTTGTGTTTGCCCCTTAAGGCAATGTCCTACGTAAGCGATAACAAGCGAGCTACCCGAGCTGCATAAGCAGCATGGGGTGTCATATGAAGCGGGGAATCGCTTGTTGTGTCCTACGCGAGAGACCACAATAGAAGCACACAGCCTTCTTGCGCATGCACCTTCCCTGTACTGCACGGTCAGAGCTTTCTTGCATATGCGCCTTACTGGCCAGCGCAGCGACTCGCGCGAAAATATCAAAATATTTGATCTCGGACTTTGGCCGCTTCGCTGTAACCTAGAACTAGAACCTAGGACAGCGCCACACAGACAGCCAGTTTGATATTTCCGCTTCACTCACGCAACTCGCACCGCTCGCATTTAATCGCTCACGTAGGACAGCGGGTAAGACAATACAACCAAGTACCCAAACTCAATTTACACAACAATGTCTTTATGAAAGTAAAGGAAATATTGAATGATAAACTAAAAACTTACTTAAATGATATAATATCTGGCTTTCCTTTCCCAGCTTTGCTCTTGCGCAATTTATAAATTTCTTTTGATGTTTTCTTTAGCATTTTCTCTACCTTCCGGTCATCAGGACTCTTCCCATTCCTTCCATTTTCAGCCTGGTAATGAAGGAGACAAATGAAACTGATCAAGCAAAGATATCTGTAAGATTAGTAGACCAGAAAAAACAAGGTCACAAAAATAAAGATTGGTACAAAATATCGTTCACCTTAATCTGTGTGGACCCACATGCCTCCGAATTATTTGACATTAGACTGAATGACAGACGATGACACCATCACCATCACAAGGCTGGTTTGAATGTGGTGATGATTTCTGTGATCTAGATTCAAGACTCACCTGGGCAACAAGATTCTGGAATTGCTGGTCTTCAAGTACCCAGGCTGCTAGCTCTTGATCACCCTGGGCTCGTGCAGTTTCCAATCGAGATTTCAACTCTCGAAGCCTAGCTAGTTCATCCTGGAGTGTCTGAAGGCGTGTGTGCTGTGCTCGCAAATCCAACTCCAGATCCAATGATGTTCGAGCTGTACAACTTGTGTGATGATGACTGAAATAAGAGTACTTCAATATGTCCTCTGCATACGAACAGAAAAATGAACAGCATGTGTGAAATTCTTCTTCTTAATTCTCAACAAAAGTTGAAACACCCCTTTTCAGTCCTATCAGCAAATTTAATACAAGGATTCAATAATAATCATGATCAACAGATGTGTACTGAGTGTGTATGTGGGTAAAACAAGGGTCACTACCATCATTTCATACAAGTGTAAATGAATTATGCAACAAAATTGCACTACTTGTTATCAGTACTGTTGACAGTGGGAGCTCACCTGCATGCTGCTCCACTGCTTGCACTACGATGATGTTTTGTTATCAGAACTGTACCAGGAGGACGTCGCCATCTCAGGGACCTCCGTTCGACAGAGTTCCGCTGAAATGGCCCACCACGTCGATACAAGGGCATGGAGCTGTCACTGTCACTCCGGTTTAACTGAAAACAGATGTTCATACAATGTTTATAATTGGGATATGGTGGTCATTTTTCATGCAGCAAGCAGGTAATTGGGTGTTTATAAACTTTGTCCACTAACACAGTGCATTTATTATTATTATCCCATCTATTCACCACTTTATGGGGTATGTACTTCCATGTACCCGAGACAGACCTTGTCCCTAAGGTACATAGGGCAGCAGCTATTTCCGGGATACATATTGTTTTTAGCAAGTGCCACATGTATTATATAATTTTATTTTATGCCAGCGTCTTTCGGATGATGTATGAAGATCCCAAAATGGCGGTCTTCTGCAGTTGCCTGATGTCGTGTTCGCCCGGGATGTTATGATGATGATTATTATTATTATTATTATTATTATTAAACATGCATTGCAGCTTATGTTAAAGTCTGGCCACCAAACCTGTAATATGGCGATTTTAAATCCCCTATTCTAGTATGATGACGGATAATAACCATTTCTCTAACTAGGAAAATAAATGAGACAGACTGTGCTAAGCCTGCAGGGATCAAGTCTTGCTCATTGTAACTAAACAGTGATTACCTCAAAGATTAAAGTGATTTATAAGAGGTTGCAGTCATTTAACAGTATCATAACACATGGTGATAACTTACCCTGCAGATGTACTGATTCTTGCTAACAGCAGCACTGGGACTGAATGTCTGAGAGCGTTTAATGACAATGCCACTGCCACGCTTCCTTGCACCTTTCTCTGGAATGAACACACACTCTGTGTTTGTCTCCTTATCCAGAGTATCCACTGGGAAATCTACCAGGGAGTCAATCATCACAGCAGTGTCCTCCTGTAAGATAAAATTAAACTTATTGACATGTTAAACATTCTTTGCACAACATGAAATAATTCACTTCTAAAGGGTTCTGATGATGGTCATTTATACTTAAAATTATTCATTGTCAGGACTTTTTTCCAAAGTCTTTTCTTTAAAGACCCACGACGTTTCAGAGGCTGGTTCTGTCTTCATCTTCAGGTGAGAGGTACCTACTCTGGTGGGTCCCTTAGAGCTAGTCTCTACCACAACATGAAATGTTTGAGAACAAGCCCTAAAAATGTGCAAGACAAAATACATTGAACATTTATCTCATTGGGCGACATACATGTCTGAAATGGTATTCAATCAGGTCAAACTGAATTAAATTCCTTCAAAAATTAATTTTAATCATGGAGTCTATGAGTGTCAATTAATTTAATTTAAATCTGTATGAAAATATATGGTACATAAAACATAATTTTAGATACTGAATTTCTGGCAGAGTGGTAGTCACAATTGCTCAGTTTGGATCAGAATTCAATTTTTCAGAAACTTTTTAATACAGATGGCTACCACCTGTTGCGCCACAGCAAAGAACGTGTGACACTGACATATTAATTCAGACTACATTTACACGTTCCCAAATCTAAATTCTACATTCTACTGAAGTTAATAAGGTAGCACAGAAGTGCATTCCAATCTTAACAGCTATCAAACTGTTTACTTACAGCATGCTCCAAGACTTCTTCCAGAATATCCTCTTGGCAAAATTCGACAATGATTCCTTCTTCATCCTCATCCTCCTCATCCTCATCTTCTTCTTCTACTTCCTCCTCATCTTCCTCTTCCTGGCTGTCCAATTCCTCCAATCGCACTGTGACAGTTGACTGTAGACCTAAAACTGAAATATGTCAGTTACACATTTCCACACATTCCTGTAACAAAATGCTGAACCTACCTTTAAAACTCTCATTTGTCAGTGAAAACGGAGTGATAATAATTTTTAATTTTTTTAATGAACCATACCAGACAGTTTGGTATAAAAATAACGTTAATTCAGCCACTCACAGCATTTTTAATGGCTCCTGCTGTAAATTACCCATATCCCAATCTTTACCCACTTTCCCAGATGCAGTGTTACAGTCCTTCAAAAAACATTCTTAACCTCTAATAAGACTACACAGCATCACAACTGACATTTTTGATGCCATGAAAACCTTAAATCTTACTACTTACGAACAAATTTGAATAATAGTTCTTTTTTACACAATTTTGTAAAAATACACTACCCTTCTTGTATCAATCTTTCAGTTCTAACAACACATTCCAATACTACACAAACACAGCCACAATTTTGTAAAAATAAACTACCCTTTTTGTATCAATCTTTCAGTTCTAACACATTCCAATACTACACAAACACAGCCAAACCTCTGCATATGTATGACTGGTTGAAATAAATTTTCAATTTAATCTGAGCACAAAGCCATGGATGGAGGCCTATTCCCACACATTCACAAAGTTTTGTCCTTGCTACAGGTAAAGAACCTAGAAGATATGACAAAAAGTGTCACTAGAATTTGGCAGTCTCAATCTCATGGCCTTTGGCACAGATTTCTCATAAACAAAGTTAAAACTAGACAGGAAGACTTAACAGGAACCTCATATTTCCTACCTTGGTTGCACGTAAGAGTCGATGTCTGAGATGAGATGATGGTCGAGTCATCTGAACTTTCTTCCTTAACAGATGCCACTTGCTTGATAAAGACAGATATCTCACTCTCCTGCTTGTCCTGACTTTCTCCCTCATCTCGACTGTTCACTGCGGGATAGGGTTCTTTTGCTGCGTCAGTGTTGCCATTTGACAACTGTGTGAGTGGTGGTGCAACTGAGTTTGTACTTGTTATGTCAGAAGATGGCTGCATGAACCGGAAGCTCAAAATATTATACCACTTGACAGATACATTCTCAGGTATAAAGTCTGCTAAACTTACTTGAGCACAACCCTGAAAAAAACAAAACAAACCTAAATGAATATTAATATTTTCATTATATATCACCTGACTGAACTTTTTTGGGGAGTAAGTTTCAGACATACAAAAACTTCAAAATGTGCAATCCACAGTGCTAGACAAGCCATTAGATGCTGGGATGGAACATGTAATCTCTGATCACATGGCTGCAATAAACCCAATATAGTGTTCGCTTCCAGTTCTAATTATTCTGACACACTGACTAATTCGATCTTCATTAAATGGTGTTGATATACCTTGTCTTTCTGATCAAATCAGTTAACCAAAAAACTAGGACTTGGGAAGGGGTGTTAAGTTATATTAAACTTCTTAATTTGTGTAACAAGCATACTTCCCTGCTGTTAGTTTATAAAAATAGGTGAAAAGATTAAAGTCCAAGTTAAAACAATTTGGGAGTTTGCACATCCATTCATCTCTCTTACTGATGTCACAAGACAGAGAAAACAGAAATTTACTATTCCATATCCATTCTGGACAATTTTGGTGTTTCAAAGCCATTAGTATTGGAGCCTAAAATTCACTCTTCTACCAATTAATATATCCCACGCAAACTTTGCAGCTTCCTTAGAAACAGAATAAAATATTTACAACAACTGGTGCAAAATAAATACCAAATGTAAAAATCAGATCAGGTCATCATGAAAGGATAACACAATGAGACACTTGATGTTCAGCCTGCAAGTTTTGACAATTGATGCTATAGCTCACCACACAATCTTCCCGCTGGCTTGTATCAATACACCAAACATTGACTTGTAGAGTTTTGGTGTACAATTTGCTAAGGGGGACAGCTAGAGGGAAGTTTTCACCAAACGTTGGCTTTCGGAGGTCCTCGACAGGTTTGGTACAGCATGCCATGTTGATAGGTGGAAGACTGGGCAACAAAGCTGTCTTGATATACCTAAATACAGTATGAATCACAATCAGTCTATTATACTCATTCAGGGAACACTGGAAATGATGACAAAGTATTCAATTATACATGCTCTCCTAGGCAGGATCAAACACACAACCCCAGTACAAGTAGCCCTCGATTTGCGCCAGTTTAGAATAACGCTGATTTTGAAAGCAGCAAGTCAAAATGTGAAAAAATTACTATTATTTATAACGTTTTACAACGTATCTCGTACTGCTTCTTATACTAAATCGTAATTCTTACATCACTGATTTCGAATAAAAGTTATAAATACAGTCATCTCTGCAATTATGTATGTTTCGTTAACGCAAATTTGCTCCAATGAGATCGATTAATCGGTAAAAGCTGTTTGTGAAATGCAAACTTTTGCATATGCAATATCATTCCTGCCACTTTAAACTTTCAAAGGACTAATTTAATCTCTGCGGAGGTACTACGCGATTTTCTATAGGTAAGCGTCTTACATGAATGAAACTATCACATAACAGCAGAGATGACTGTACACTTTACGCCGGTTCGTCCAGGAACACATCTCGAGGGCTACCTGTATTTGTTCAGTTCATAACCATGCACATTTTAAATCATGCAGCCACATCTGCATTCCCTATTTTATGGAAAAATTATTTCACCATAAAATGTTTTTGTTTTGCTATTTTTAAATAAATCATAAATGATGATAGTGGATCTTCCATTATTACAAACATTGTTCAGGAACAATGTAAGATGACCTGAGGAATTTAACAGATGAAGTATTTTAAATAAATGTTTTATACATGCAAACATTACAAACACTATTAACACTGAGAAACCCAAATTTAGTTTATAGAAGTGAACAGAAAAATCACTTAATACACACTATTCTACAAGGCAGGTTATAACCCATACTCACACTTTGCAATTGTCTGGGATGAATAATGCTCCCAGGTTACGTGCTCTTTCAATCCCAATATGAAGCAGACTGTCACTAACAGAGTACCTGCAATAACAAACATATAGTTATCAAATATAATGAATTTCCTTCCAACTACAACTCTACACAGCAGAACAACTGATAATCAAATGCTACATCGATTGGGGGCAACTCATACCTGTTTTATAACCATACAACCACAGCGCAAAGCCTCAAAACAAAATCTCAAGTTCCAGAATATACATTAATTTAAAAGTTTAATGTGTTCATATAAATCTCATTAAATTAATTGTTCTGCAAATTGAAGTCTCTTGTAATCCTCCATTCTCATAAAAGGGTTAATTTATTTCCTTCGATCAATAATGCATACTAATAGAGAGACAGCTGTAAATGGTTAATAGTAACACAAAATATACATAATGTGAAGAGTTTCAGGCTCTAACGTGCACTTATACAACACAGCAACACAAACAGGAGCATACCTTAGCTTGATCTGAACTTGTGCTGTTTCCAGATTCATTTCCTCAAGTTCAGCCGCATTATCACTTGCTAGTGATGACCGCTTTTTATTGGACGCCTCAAACACTCCAGAATCTCCGGCCACTGATTCATCACTTACAGCTGCAGACACTGATCTTGTATTTGTTCCTGATGATGATGGTGTGGATAATGCTGCTACCTGTAATAATTACTTCCCTTTCAACACCTACCATTTCACATTTTAATGAAGTGAGCATTTTTGGGCTAGAAAAAGCAGTAGTGCAGACTGTTTCCCTGTGACTGCTCAGTTTTAGTAATTTCAAGGTAAATGCTGTATCAGGCATAAAACGTAGTCAGAGAGACAGCGTGAATGAAATATCATTGAGTTTGGCCTTTTTAGTGACATGTATTGTTTCATGAAATTAGTGAACATGTTAATGTCACAAGAAAACGTTCTGTTCAGAACACGGGATACACACAATTGTGCTTAAAACATTAATTAAAGAATGAAAAGTGTAAACCTTTTATAATGCCTCAGTGTTTATACTGCAAATAGGATAGCATATTACGCATTACATGGCAATCAAACATAGGATTAACAAACAGTTTGTGCATTGGTATGTAAAACCAACTAATCGTAAGGTCTCTCACACACAGAATACTTAATGCAACATGAGTTCATAAAGATTTAGAAATGGCTGCAGCTGACAATTATTATCAGTGCATTTGCCTGAAAGAAACGAGAAAAACCACAGAAAACCTTGGCTAAGATAGTTTGTTAACAGGACCAAAATCTGAACTTACAGTACATCTCATCAGACCAACCTGAAGAAGTTCTACTGTATCATCCAGAACTGGAGGCGGGGTTTCCGAAATAGGAGAGAGAGGAGGATCTCCTGCTGTTGGCCTGCCAAGACCTGATCCTTGTGACATGTTGCCTCCTCTCGTGAGCTCCAAGTAATCAGCCAGTGCTCGCTGACTTCTCAAGCTGCCCACTGCACTAACACCTCCTGACACTATATAGTCATGCTGCTGTAACTGAGCAGCAATGTGTTGCTGATTTAACCTCAATTCAGCCAATCGGTCCTCTAACTGTATCCTGTCTAAGCACTGCTGGTGTGTCGTATTTGAAACTACTGAAGCTACTAAATGCTGTTGTCTTCTCTGTCTTTCAACTTGTTCATACGCAGGTGGTGGTCCAGCTATTCCTGAGGATGTTGCCAACAATGCTGGGTCATACAAGGGAGATACTGGGGGTGAAACGGAAGACAGTGATGACCGAGGGGAAAGCGATGGCAGGGAACGACCAGAGGATGGAGAGGGAAGAAGATTCGAAGATTCACTACTGCCAGCTCGTAGCAAGCGTTCAACGCGGCGATGCAGATCCACCATATCGACAGGTTTCTCTGCGGTGACGGAGATATTGCTAAGCCCAAGACACTGTGGTCCGCCGTAGATGTCGGTGAAACTTAGCCCTGAGCTAAGTGATCCTTTGCTGCTTGCAGTAGACAAAGACCCCAAGCTTGAACTTGAGCTCACTGACAGCGTACTTGCTGATAAAGTCTTCAGTTGAGACTCCAACTGTGTCATCGAGCGGAGAGCATCACGCAACTGCTGAAGTAACAACTGCTTCTCTTCATGAAGCCGTAGTCTGCAAGACATAAATACACGATTGGTATCCCTAATTGTCATATTTTTCTTTGCAATTATCAAAACAAAAACTGAACTCACCTATCAGTGATAGCTCGGTTAGACATTTCAAGAGCATTGTTGAGATCTTGTTCCAACCTTCTGATCTCCTGTTGAATGTCTTGCATTTCCTGTTGACTGCGCGTTCTTGGAGTGATACTACGAAGCTCTCGCAATAACTGTTCCTTTTCTTGGAACAGCAGGAGCCTGGATATACAGAGGCAAGATACACATATAGCCGCAGAATAACAAGTTTTTGTAAATACTATGACACTGAAGATCTGGATACTATGTGGAGTATCATAATTTCCAATATACATAATTTATTTTACAGTAAATTAGCTATCTCTGCTTAACAATGTAAGAATTTTATTTCTGCTGATACACACTGAATCTTATGGGGGAAAAACATATTTTGCGTGCCTTCCAAAATTGTAAATTGTATTCTGCACATATCAACTTACCTTTTCCGATATGTTCAGAAGAGACTGCATCTATTATAAGAGTGAGAGCATTGTATCATCCTACATTATCCTGACTTTACACACCAACAATAAACATCAACTTGCCTGTCTTTATCCGACTCAGCTTGTCCAGGCGTAACTTTTTCTTCTAAGTCTGCCAACTGCTGTTGGATCATCTGAATTCGTTTCCTTGCTTCGTCATACTGAAGCCTCATCCGAGCCATTTCTGCTAGTCGTGTGCCAATTGGAACCAGCTAAACAAAATATTTTAGTTGATATTCAGTAAAGAAAACTGTAAGCTTTCAAACAGCAGATATCTACCTGATAACAAAAGCATACCTCTCCTGAAAGATCAGTCTGTGATGCTGTGCTCAGCTTCTCCTGCGGAAGACTAAGTGTGGAGACATCAGGTGAGCTCTCACACAGCTGCAACCTCGTTAGGTCATCTTTGAGTTTCGCTAGGGACTGCATTAGTTCTGCCTTTTCCTTTTCTCCAGACGACAGGGACTTCTGAATGTTACGAAGCTCGGTCATGATTGCCTGGGCTTCTGTGATGTTGTAGCACCCACCCTGGTGTGTGCTCAACTTCTGTTCCACTCTGTATACAGTTTGTGATATTAAAAGTTGTACACAGGAATTATATGAGAAAGAATAAACATTTTTTCACTCTTACTGTTTTACGTTGCCTAAGATCCCCACTTAATGGTACCTACACCTTGTCATGGTGGTGGGGCTTGAGTACCTCAGTGACCCCAAGAGCTATGCTGGCGGTAGCATAGCTACTGGTAGGGCCTCCCTAGCCAGATTGGTCGAGGGGGAGAGGTCAGACTAAGACAGGTACCCTGGTCCTCCAGGTTGGTTGTTGGTCGCAAGGCTAACAACCTTGCACAGTAAAAAGGAAGATGTTTCGAAACCTCAATCAAAGCCTTGGACAGACGGACCTAACGGAGGACCGAATGGAAGAGGAAAATTGAGGAGGCCATGGACCGAATACGGACCGGAGAGCCATAGAAGAAGAAGAAGAGTCCAATTCCCCCCCTCCCCTAGCAAACACATAACAACCATGTCCCCACAGACAAAATAAATGACTTACGTGAGTTCCAGTGCAACTTAACTATCTGAATCTAGAGCTCACACCATGTAGTAGCATAACAACAACAGCTGAGCACTCAAACTTTGTCCCCTCATAGGAAACTGCATAAACTTCGCATAAATAAAATAAATATTAAAAAGCCCAACAATACTTACGAAGTTAGCGTATCGACACCACGTTGCGTGCAGCTCATCTCGGCCCGAATCTGCTCCAGCTCTCGTTTAAGCCGAGACACCCGATTCCGAGCCAGAGCCACGTCTGACTTGAGCAGATCTGGATCATACTTGGTGCTCACACTGCTTGAGCTCGAACACACTGAAATGCATAAGAAACCAAATTTAATTTCTTACTAAAAAATCATAAACATACATTTAACTAGCTCATTCTTACAAAGCCATTTTCATTTCCAGACCTAATGAGCAAGAAATACAGTTAAATAAATTGAATGTGACTAACAATCGACACTAGGAAATCATATTGGGCGTATTTTACAAAATTCCATTTTCATATTGTGGAAACCGATTCAAAATGTTATCCATTTCCGTGAAGATTTCAGATTTCACTTATGATGAACTTACAACTTGTTCTAGAAGTGTTGAGTGTGGTTAGTACATTGTGGAGATGATTGTATTCATCCTGGGCCAAGTACAGTCTCTGCTGCTTAACATCATATATTTCTTTCTTTGCCTGTAACAAAGAAAATATTTTACTGCAACCGGAGAAAATCAATTATATACAATGTATACTGCAGTTATATGATGAAAACAATTTTGGTTGAAGAGTTGCTGCGGAGATCCGAAACGCAGTGCTCTCACATTGAGACACTCGGCTCACCTGAAAGTTCATTAATTTCTTCGCAAGGGCCTGCCACTCAACCTTATCTTAAGTCACAAGAATCCAGTCAATAAACCTCCACCTTACCGCCATAAGATGTTTTAACATTATCCTCTCACATATGATGTATTCCCTTCAGGTCTTCCGACAAAAATGTTGTAGGCATGTACCATGTTCCCATACGTGGTACATGCCATGCCCGTCTCATTTTCCTTCATTT